GAGTCTGCTTGAGATTCTCTCTCTTTCTGCCCCTCCACCAGCTCTTTCTCTCTCTCAAATAAATAAATAAAATCTTTAAAAAAAAAAAAAAGAAAACATTATAGAAGGTAATGATGGTTGAGGGAGGGATAGTACTCTCCCTCAAAAAGTTTTGGTCTCCAAAAAAAAAAAAGTTTTGGTCTAGTGAGAGAGATAAGATTTGTATGAAAACAGAATTAGGATATTAAGGTAGATAGTGAAAGGCATCTTGAGAGAATCAGATAAGGGGCCAAGAGAATTCAGAAAAGGAACTGGATTAATTCTGACTGAGAGCATCAAGGAATGTTCCTGGAGAAGATAGTGTTTTAACTGGAGCTTGAAGCTATGTGTGAGGGTGTATAGAATGGAAACATTCAGAATCTACTTTAAGACAAATATTTGCCTCTATTTCAGTGTAGTTGAGTTACACATCCAATAATGTGTTACTTACAGAAAATGCCTATACACTATATACACACATATGTATGTATATATATGGAGAGAGATTCGTATGTTCAGTACATGTAGCGATTTAGAAATAGATGTACATTTTAAGTAACATACAGAACCTTAGAGGACTTTGAACCCCATCATAGGATGTTTAATAGCATCCCTGGGCCTCCATCCACTAGATCTCAATAGCATACCTTCAGGCGTGACAACAAAAATGTCTCTAGACATTGCCAAATGCCCCCCGCACCCAAGGGGCAAAATAGGCCTTAGTTAAGAACCACTGGTTTATACAGTTGACCCTTGAACAATGTGAGTGTTAGGGGTTCCAAACCCTGTGGAGTTGAAAATCCTCCAATAACTTTTAACTTCCCACAAACTTAACTACCAATAGCCTACTCTTGATTGGAAACCTTACCTGTAACATGATCAATTGACACATATTTTGTATGACTTATGTATTATACACCGTATTCTTACAATACAGTAAGGTAGAGAAAAGAAAATGTTATTAAGAAAATCATAAGGAAGAGAAAACACATTTACAGTATTGTACTGTACTTATGAGAAAAATTCCACCTATAGGACGTCCTGTGCAGTTCAAAGCCGTGTTGTTCAAGGGTCGACTGTACAAGCTAAACCTCCCCTGGGAGTGGATAAAAATTCTCAGGTTCATGACCTGGATTTTTATTTTTGGGTCCCTTCTTCAATGGTTCTTAACTTTATTTAAAGTTTATTTATTTTATTTAAGTTATCTCTACACCCAACATGGGGCTTGAACTCAGGACCCCAAGATTAAGTAAGAGTTGCATGCTCTTTCCACTGAGTCAGCCAGGCACTCCTTAACCTTAAGAATCAAGTAAGTTTTTGAACATCTGTTGAGAGCTGTTGACTCATTCATTTATCAGGAAAATGCACATGCTCACACCATGTGGAATACAATTACAGGGAATTTACACTAGGGTTCTCCGCAGAGGAGTTTTGTTTCCTGGAGCTTAGAGAATTTTCATGGTCTGTATTTTCCAGCTAAACAACTGAAGGCTGGTGTCCAGAAGGTCCATAGTCTCTTTTGGAGTCTCTTCTGTATTTACTTCAGAACACTGATAATCGGGCGAGAATCTTCCTGTTTACCAAACTCTCCCCTCCTTCATCTTCACCTACATTAGTCACTGAGATTCATCCCAGCAGGAGACGGAACCCTGCTGAGGTAGGATAGATCCGACTGCCCCTCACTTCTTTCTAGTCTCCCTTCCTGTGGAGTCCAGCTGATTCCTTCCTTAATTGCCCAGCTGACTGAGAAGAAAGAAAGAACCAAAGAGTCAGCAGGGTAAGAAAGCCAGCCCCCTGGACACTTGGTTTTGATTGTGAAATATAACACACACAGGCACACACACAGAGAAAAGTGAATTCACAATGTATCTAAAATTTATGAATAAATTATGAACTCTCTATAACCACCACCCACTGAGTACTTCCGAAGAAACACTTTCTAGAAATACAGAGCGTTATTAAATACAAAACTGCCCACTGCTCCCTTCCTCCTCCCCCACCCGGAGCAGTATGAGAGCTGTGTCCTGACTGTGGAGCTTCTTCATTCACACAACCTAGGAGCCAAGGTCAGCGCTCCAAGCAGTCGTGTTTTTCACGCAGGGCGGGGCTCTGCTCTCCTGTAACAAGTTTCCCTTTCCCAGCCCCTGACCTCGCAGCCCGCGTTAGCAATCGCGAGGTGAGCGACGATCCCACTGGCCCTTACGTGACAACCAGTAAGAATCTCGGCCTTCCCGGTTCGGGAACGGTAAAGGATGCGGGAGGAGTAGCATTTCTTTCCCAGTAGGATAGGTGGAGAAAGACCGCTGCCTCTGTATCCCTCTTTTCGACTAAGGTGTCTCTGTTGTTCCATAAATAAAACGTCTCACTGCCTTCTGCGAGCGCTATAAAGGCAGCGGAACGGCTGTCCCCGGGGGCATTCCGGGCGGGCCACCAGCCGAAACAGGTGAGCTGGCCGCTGAGGATGCAGCTTACTCCCCCAAGCTCTGGCTTAACTCCCGGGAGGCATCGCTAGCCGCAGATGGGACTAGTGTGGGGACACGGAGCGGGCGGGCAGGGGGCAGTACAGCCTTCTTTTTGAGAAGCTGAGAGCGAGAAGGAGGCTAGCAAAACAGGCCCGGGCAAGAGGTCTGCTCCACCTGCCCAAAGTTCTGCCCCCGGGAGAACTGCGACCCGCTGCTGGAATTTGCCTGTAGTGCACGTAGCCCCGGGTAACGTGGCCTGAGGTTTCCACGCCCGGCCCGGGGCCAGTGCTTCTCTCCTGGTGCGCGCCTGGGGCTGTGCCCTGGGTCGGGTGCGACGCGAGAGGAGCGCTCCCAGGGTCCCCTTCCGTCCCCGCACGCGCTCGGGCTCCAGCCGGGATTTGGGGAGATTTCAGGATGCGGACAGCGCCCTGGCTGCCCGCGGGTGGGGACTGGGTCGAGCTGCGGAAGACCCCAAGGCGGGCCTCACCCTCTTCAGAGTCCGGGAGCCCCGGGCAGCAGGTGCAGGCTACGGGACCCGAAGGTCCTCACGTGCCCGGGTGCAGCCGGGTGGTGCGCGCCCGGGGGCGACGGCCTGGAGCACCCGGGACGGCGGCGCGCGGACCAGGCGCTCCGGGATCGGCTGCAACAGGTGGGGCCAGGCGACAGCTAACGGGAGGTCGCCTCTTCCTGTCCCTTCCTCTTCGCCTCCTCTCCCTCCTTCCCCGCTCCATCTCCTCCCTCCTCGTAGTCCTCCGCCTCGCAGGTCATGGAAGCGCCCGGCAGCAGGTTGGAGCCGCCACCGCTCCCGGAGTACAGCTGCAGCTACGTGGTGTCGCGGCCGGTCTACAGCGAGCTCGCCTTCCAGCAGCAGTACGAGCTGCGCCTGCAGGAGCGCAAGACGCTGCGGGACAGCCTGGCCAAGGGCTGCAGGTAGCGGCCGCGGCGGGCTGGGCGCGGGCAGCAGTGGGGCCGGGCGTGTGGGCGCGCGGACCCGGCGTGGGATGGCGCGCCCCCCTGCCGGGTCGCCTGGGCTTCAACCATCCGCATTGCTGTCCTTCCTGGTCGCAGGGTGGCTCCATCATTCTCGGCCCGAATTGAGTTTAGCCCCGGAAACTCATCTTTGGGCAGAGTGTGTTCCGGGTGCCGCATCTCTCTTTTCATCCTCTCTTCGGGACATCTGGAGTGCGCTTTGGGGTACAGCACATCCCTAGGGTCTCCTCGTGAAGGTCAGGCTGAGGAGAGTGGAGAAGAAAGGGGCTCGATTAAAAAGACAGGATGGGTAAACCCATCACCTGGCCAGTCCTTGAAAGCCCCAAGTTCATCTAGGCAGGATGCCACCCGGAGACAGGGAATGAAGGCTAGAACCCAGGAGACTGTACTCCAAGGTCTTCCCTCTCTGGCAGTGGGACCCCCAGGGAGACCTGCATCACTCTCTAAACCCAAACGGGCCGCCTGTAATTAGATACCACAAAAAAGAACTAGAGAATTGTCAAGTGCTGCCAGATTTTCTTTCTTAAGAATCTTTTATTACAGAACGTAAGTATATACAAAAGTAAACGTAGTAGAATAATGAAGCCCCCTCCAACTTTTTACCCACCACCCAGCTTCAACAACCAAGCTCTATCTATCTCCACCCACTTGCCCCCATTCCACTATGGAAGCAAATCCTACATAGTGTATCTTTTTGTCTGTATATATTTCAGTATATTTCTCTACGGACTCTTAAAAAAATAACCACAGTCCCCTTATCACACCTAAAAAAATAATTCCTTAATATGAAAAACATCAAAATTTCCAAGTGTCTCATAAATATAATTTAAATAGTTCAGTTGAGTGAGAAGTCGGATAATGTCCACCCACTCTTAACATTTTTTTCTTTTATCTATAGGATGCTGAATTAAAAAAATACTAAGTAGCAACGTACAACAAAGTGTACATTTATCATATTAAGATTTTTGCATAAACTGGCTCCAAGCTTGTTGTGCCAAAATAAAGAGAGTGTGTTTATTTTTCTTTAAAGAAAAAGAAGTAGTAAAAGAAGGTGCCTGGGTTAGAAGTGTGAAAATTAATCTCCTTTTGGAAACTCCACATTGATCGTTCTGTGGCTGGTCTAGAAAATGGGTCCTTGTGTAGGGATATTTTCTCAGAGGATTACAAAGGTGGGAGAGGGGAGGGAACACTTAATCCTGTGTTTTCTAGTACAGCGCATTTAAAAGGGTAGATAGAGTTCTTGGCAAAAGCATGGTAAGCACTTGAGCGTTAGTATTTGCCAGGCAATTCTTATTCTTTTTCTAAATGGTTATAAAGATCAGCAGAGCCCAGCTCAAAACTTTGTGCTTTGCAACTGGCTGTGACTGAGATGGTATTGGAAACCCAGTTTTCTTGCCTTTTGACAGTTGTTCAAGAAAGAGAGGCCTTGGTGTGCTGAAGACTCTCCTGCCCATCTTGGACTGGCTCCCCAAGTACCGAATCAAGGAATGGCTGCTTAGTGACATCATTTCGGGAGTTAGTACTGGGCTAGTGGGCACGCTGCAAGGTAAGGTGTTGGTGGATTGGCTCCCAAGTGATTGAGAGTCACCATCTCCAGCAGCAGTTCATAACTTCCTCCTGAGTCCCAGGAGTCTGTACCAAATGTTTGCTTACCCTTCAAGAGCTTCATCTTCCTCTAGAGCCCCTTAGTGGACAGATTTGCCTCTTTTTTCCTCTTCCTTAGAGTTCTTTTGCTGGGAAACCCTGCTGCTTCTCGAGCTGCATGGCTTCAACTAGAGCCCTAGCATCTGAGCGGTGGCTCCCCAGCTTCTATTGACCACAACTCACAGTAAGAAATAGACGTTACATCATGATTTGCACATGCATATCTCAAGTTCTGTGAAATAATATTAACCCCCACTACAAGTGATATACTCAGATAGTTTCTATTCCGTCCTCTTCTATTCTGCTTATATTTTTTAAATGATGATTGCAGTCCATTACATTATTTTGCATCCCACACATGGGTCTTGACCTGCAATTTGAAGGTGGCTTAAGGGAAAGTGAAGGAAGTGTTTTAGCCTGGAGTGTTGTCCATAAGCTTTTTTGTCTGTCCTCCTTCCTTTTTTTAATCCATCCCCTTATTTTAATCTCTGGCAAAATGTCTTAACAGCGGTGTTTTGTTTTGTTTTCCTTTGTTTTGTTTTAAACAGGCTTTATATTATATTTCCATGAGCATCTTAGAAATCTGTCGCATAGTTGGTGAATCGCAGCATGGGCATTCTCCTCTGTCCGCCATCCCCATTGTCTTGCTTCTGCTATCCCCCCAACTCTACAAACCCCTGGACCATGAAAACAGAAGTCTCATTTATTTATTATAACTTGATGGGGCATCTAATTATAGTGCTCCAGGCACTAGGTATGCTGACGTGAATGAGCTGTACCACCTGCTCTCAAGGATCTCATGGTCCATGGGAAAGTGCATAATAACAATTCCACAAGGGCTGTGACAGGGGTAACAAGGCCTCGGAGGTGAGCTTGCACAGATTCTCACAACCCAGCCTTAGGGGACTGGGACTGGCTTCCTGGAGGCTGAGTTGTCAGATGGAGTTTCCGTGAAGGTTAAGTCTGAGACTGCCCAATGATGAGAAGTAGAGTCGGGTGGGGATGTGGGTAGAAAGATGGCTTGAAAATGGACTACTTCAGAAGTTAGTAACAGTTGTTGAGCAATGTCCAACCTTTGCCCATAGAGCTCTCAAGATTACTCAGAGCAAGCCAGGTAGAGTTCCACAGAGGAGGGTATTCTGCGGCCTCAGTGTGGAGCCCCTGCCTGACCAACCACGGTTTCCACCACAAAGGTGGATGGGAGAGGAGGTAGGGCTGGGCAGTGCATTAGTTTGATGATGCCACGTGCCCATAGGGGACTGTGAAAACTATAACGTAGCAACACTGTGTGACTCCTAGAGGACAGGAACCATCGATTTAATGGTGTTTAGCTAGTGCCTGGCATGGAGACTGGCCAAAATAGATGGCTTCATAAACACTGAGTGAAGAGGACTGAATTGCTTTTCTGCTGATGAATCATCTTTATAGGTAAAAAAATGATATTTCAAGCTCTAGCTCCCAAATTTTCATAGACAAGTATCTTATAAGAATTAATCCTACTTTTAATTTTGTTTATTAAGTATCAGACACTATGCTTAAGGGCTTTGGCCAATTATCTTGTTTAATCCTCACAAAAATAATTATTAACTCCTTTTCAGTAGATGAGAAATCCGTTAAATCTTTTTCTATCTCTATAAAGTTATCTTTGTAAAGTAAATTTCTGGGAGGTCAACCTGGTTCATTCATGCATTCATTCATCTTTCATTCACTTTATACTATTTATAAACCAATTCTGTATGCCAGGTGCTCAGCCATGAAGATTCAGTGGTTTATTGACAAGCACAGGTACTGACCTCATGGAGTTCCTTTCAAATGGTGGACGTTAATTTAATTAAATTATTAATTAAATAAATAAAGAGATAAAGCAAAAAAATAATTACAGATTGTAATAGATTTAATCCATTGTGTTGGATTAAATACTCTGTACTAAGGATTACTTTGAGGAGGGAGTATTTATTTTAGATAGAATGGTCAAGGAAGGCCTTGCTGAGGGGATGAAATTTAGTCAGAGATCCAGAGGATGAGGAGACGCCATGGAAGAGCAGAAAGGAGAGTGTTACTAGGCAAAGGCCCAAGGCCAAAAGGAGTTCAGTGTGTTTCCAAGGGAGTTGCAAGAAGAATTCTAGTGTGGTGGGTGCAGTGTGTTTGGGGGGAGGGTGAACAGAACGAGATAAGATTGGGCAGGGCTGGGTTAGGATGAGGCAGTGAGGCACTTGCTCTCAGGAGGCTTCCTTAAATATTGTGCCTCAGGCACCTGACTTGCCTCACCCTCCTCCCAGCCCCGGAGGACAGTTGTGTCAGCTTAAACCAGCTCGAGCAGGAGACAGATAGATCTGCACAGATCTGAAATGTATTTTGGAGCAACCATCACTGGTGTCTACTGATGGATTTAGCATGTCGATGAAAAATCCCAGATGGCTCCAAAGTTGTTGGCTTGAGCAACCGGGTAGATGGTTATGTTACTTATTAAAATGGCAAAGACGGGCTAAGGAGCAGGTTTGGGATGGAAAGTGAAGAGTTTCCTTTTGGACACGCTAAGTTTGAGATGTCTGTGAGACCTCTAAGTGGAAAGGCCAAATATGGAGTTGGAGCTATTACAAGTGTGCAGAACAGAGGAGAGGTCTGGGCTAGGCAGACATAGCAGGGAAGCATCCCTGTAGAGGTGATCTTTATAGGAGTGGGAATGCCTGAGACTACCCAGGGAGAAAGGTCAGAGGGAGAGAAGATGGCTGGACCATTCAGAGGTCAGGAAGAGAAGAGGAGGGCCACAGAGAACTGTGAGAAGGCTCAGGAGGTTGGAGAGAAAGAGCAATTGGAGGGATGTGGGGTCAGAAGCCAAGAGAGGAGGTTGTTTTTAAAAGGATTGAGGGGCGATAGTGTCATACTCTTCAGGGGAGAGTTTGAAGATGGAACACAGACAATGCTTTTAAGAACATTTGCTGTGTGGGGCGCCTGGGTGGCTCAGTCAGTTAATGTCTGACTCTTGGTTTCGGCTCGGGTCATGATCTCAGGGTGGTGGGATCGAGCCCCACACCAGGCTCTGTGCTCAGTG